CTAAGTCACACTAATGTGCCGTTTGAGAAGTATGTAATTTTCTACTTTAAAAGTATTTTGAATTTTTTTGACAAATAAGAGAAAAATTCTTTAAAACTTTATATGCCTCCTGCATTTTTATCCTACTGGCCACAAGAATAAATTAAAATTTTCTCATAAATCCTACAGTTTTATGTTCTTTTTTATTTATTCTGATACAAATTTGAGCCAAACAAAAGGCAAAACTTATAGTAGATAAAGGACAAACTTTGGAACCAGTTCATATGTGTTAAAGTTAACTTTGACATTTAGCACCTTAATATTGAGAGTTAATCAATCTACCTGTCCTCAGTTTTCTTATCTGAAAAATATGAATAATAATATGTATTACACAAGATTGTCACAAATTAAACAGAATCCATTTTTCTCCTTTTTCCAAATCTATATACCACATCCCTAATATATGAAACCTCATACATTAAATAATTCTTGATTTCTGTTTGGCTTACAACATTTATCTTTTATCTATGCAAAGCTTTGTAGCATAAGAATTAACGTACAAATGTCATGCCTGTAGTTAATGTCCCTGAACCACAAGCCACAGTTTATTCATCCAAAAGCTGACAACTAAGCCAATTATTTATTTTTCCTAAGAATTTGAACTGATAAGTTATTAAAGTGAATTATATGGATGCCAGGGTAAAAAATAACATGAGATCCCTGGAGCTACTTTCCCTGAAAGCTGGACATGCACTATTCATGAGCATCTGGGATTCAGTTCAACATGGGGGAAAAGAGAACAGGGCAGCCAGATTTGCATCCCACATCTGTCACTATCTGGTGACCTTGGGAAGATCATTTAAGTTCAAAATACAACAGTTTACTCATTCATAATAGGCATACAATAACTCTCTACACCTTCTAGTGCTCATGGGAGATGGAATAAGATAATTATGTAAAAAATTTGACATGGTGTGGTGATTCTAGTGGACACCTTGTAAGTGATAGCTATTATTGAAATTCGGAAGGTCGTTCCTTGCAGTGATGAGCTTACACTTTTGGTCTTTATTCTTATGTAAAGTGTTATAATTTTTTGTTATTTATAAGCAAATAAAACTCAGCATATGGCCTAGGGGTGGCTGCCTTTGGTAGTTTATTTATATCAGTTCAATATATTCCCTTTACATGTGTTTACTGCTAAAATGAAAATACAATGAAAGTAAGTAGAAGACAGTTGCTAAAAATGGATAGCTTTGTTCTCATTCTTTATCAGTTTAAAAGTTCAGTTTTAAGCTAAATGGAAATTTTCAATGAAAGAGAAAATATTTCATTTGTATTTAGAAATAAATCTGTTTATCTTTAGTAACAATGACATGGTCAACATATATTGAGTTTATATATGCCAGATTCATTTATACATGCTGGGGTTACAGTAGAAAGGGAAAAAAATCCCTGCTGTCATTTGAATTTCATCTTATGGGAGAGAAAATAACACAACAAATGTTGCTTATTAAATATAGTATCAGGTAATGATGAGCACAGGGTAATGAAGAAAACGAAAGTAGAGTAGAAAGTAAGATTCAGGTACTATTTTTACCAAGGAAGTCAGGGACGCTTCTTTGAAAAAGCATCGTTTGAACAGTTAAACATATTAAAGTAGGTGTCAAGAAGCCCCATTTTATAGCTAGGGATCTGAGAAGTTTGATCAGGGCTGATTGGTGAAGAGGTCAGGCACCGTGCTCACACAACTCTCACTGGAGAGTTGGGCCTGTTCACATTCAAAACTATATTTTTTGTTGAGAAAAGAATAAGATCACATTAAAGTTGTTTTTTTTCTTTGCTGTATAGTTTTTTTGCACCACTGTGTTTTCTTGTCTTCTGCCCCCACTGTTCCATTTGTGGTTTGGTATACTGTTGGTAAAGATATGGATCCTAGAACAAAATACTCCTCTTCATTTGAGCTTGCTGATTTGGCTGGCAATTAGTTTTACCATATCATATAATTTATGCTCCTCTTTCTTTTAATACATTATAAATAACTGAGCAGCATGTCTAAAGGCCAGCTACTCAAACAACCAAACAATCTCGCACACTTGCTGAGTCCTGCATAACACATTCTTTGACTTCAGAAGTTTTTAATGAATAATATATTAAACAAGTCAAGGTTCAAAACAGTCACCAATTAAATAGTCCTCTATCTAACTCAGCGGGGAATAGCTCTGGCCTTTCCAAACTTATACTTTAGAACAAAAAGTGAAATATATTAACTCATCAAAGAGTTAGTTGTTTACTTTTGTTAGAGTACCAAATAAATGTAAATATGGATTATAGTACTTTTTATTAAATGAGTCCTCCTATAAAATTTGGATCTATGAACAATTATAATAAAGATTAAGGTTGGGTGGGGATTGAGGCTAAGAATTATATCGAAATGCTTTTGTATTTTTAAGGACAACTAAATTTACTTATTAATGTATTCTCTTGTTTTCTTATGTTATTGCAGGTAAATGAATAATTCCCAGGGAATATCCATGAAGGTATTCCATTGGATAGATTTTGTTTATCTCTTATCATGTTGGAACTCATATATATATATATATATATATATATGTATAAATATATATGTATATGTATAATTATATATGTATACATATATATGTATAATTATATACATGTATATATATTTTACTTTAAGGTCCTTCACTTTGGCTTTGAGATATAACTACCTAGCATGATATTGATAATAATAGGAAGAAATAATAATAGCCTTTACTAATTCAGCATATATTATAATTTAAGTGATTATTCTCTACAGGCAGGTATATCTGTTGCCCTAGTTTAAAAATTTTGACTAAATAATATGTCAAGGCATACACTGCTGACAAGGATTAAAGTTAGAATTGGTAAGAGGCTTGTTGCATGACAGACTTCATGCTTCTTCTTCAGAATGAGCATGAATAGCTACAAGTGTATTCTTAGCTCTCAACTGCATGTTGGAGTAGTTGAGTTGAGTCTTTATAATCAGGCAAAGCTGAGCTAGCCTAAAGGCTTTCAACAAGTTACTTCACTTCTATCAATCTCCTTTCACTGTAAAATAAAGGTAGTAGTACTATATCATAATAAAGCTGTATGAGTTAAAAAAAAGAATACATTTAATGTTTAGTACATTTCTAATACATTTTAGTAACTATTATGATTATAATTACTAATTAAAGGTTATTGTGATCTCATATTATTCTAGTAGAGTAACATGTCAAGTGTGGTGGTTAGCATGGAGTGTCAATTTGGTCAACTTTAGAATCCCCCCAGGGTCTTGGTGGAACATAATTTGAGTGCGTCTGGATGGCTCACGGTGGCAAGGCCTTGAGTACTGTATCTGGTCCCTTGCCCCTTCCTCTCTGTCTTTGGTCTCATCACCGTGAGTTAAGCAGCTTTGCTCTGCCATACCATTCTGCAGTGATGTTCCTTCCTGGAAGCCTTCTAACCATGGACTGGCCTCTCTGAAACCATGAGCCAAACAAACTTCTAATTTAAGTAGAGAATGTCAAGTATTGGGTCTCAGCAACAGGGAAGCTGATTAATACATTAAGGCACATAAAAGTATATTTGGCCTGGCAGACAGCTGTGTAGTACAAATGTCAATCATAGAACATTAAAGCTTGCCTTTCACCTGTGTTAGGGTGAGTTGTAACGGATACTTTGAACATTCATGGGCCTCATGTTGTGGATATGTTCTTTGTTTGCCTTGCACAGAGTATTTAGAAAAGTATATTTACATTTGTACTACCCCATTAAACACTCCTTTAAACTGGCCTTTGTTTTAGAGCTTGTCTTTTTTAAAAAAACTGAAATCAACATTCATAGAAATTTAAATGAGATTGGTCAACTCATTGTATGTCATTCAAAACTTGCTCTGAATGGGCCTACTCTGTGGAAGAAAAAGGTTGAAGATAATAAATGAGTAAATAACTTCTCTTTAAAATTAGAATTCCCATATTCTAATGTACATTCTAATCACTGGAATAAATTTATTAAAATTCAAATATTAAATCAGTTGCTAGAGGGTGAAATGTGAGATTCTGTATTTCTAACACATTCACTGCTGCTGTTGCTGCTGATCCAGGTCCACACGTAGGTTAACAAGACCTTATGGACATCAAGTTGTGTCTTTTATAAGAGAGAAGTACTGCAAATATTTATGAACTGGTACAATGCTAAACAAAAGAAGCAATTATCAATGGCAGATAGATTAAAGAAAATTAGGAAGAATTCTTGAATAATTACAAGAGAAAATTCTTATGATGTTTATGTATCTACCTATTATCTATCTATCCATCTGTCTATCTCTGTATCTGTCTATGCATGTGAATGGCTATATGTGCACGTATTTCCTAGCCTTGACTACAGAAAGAGCTTTGAAGTAGTAACATCCCAGAAGCAATGATCACCACAGTACCCAGATCTTGATTTGTAAAAACTATTACATGATAAAAATAATTAAGGACTGTTGGAGATGTAGTTTATTCCAAGGCTTGGAGAAGAAAAAAAAAATATGAGAAGAATCTAGAATATGCTAGTAGTGCTAAAAAATAAGAAGGCCCAAAAAATGTGAAAAAGAAAAAATAAAGTTGTTAAAGAGGTAGACAACTGTCTACTCTATCCCAATCTTATACTGCCTGTTGGACATAGCTGAATTTCTACCCCATTTTAATTTTACTTGTCTTTGAGGACAGGCTGTTTATTAGCCAAATTCCTCTTCAAATGGGCTAGCCAAAATTGCCTGGATCCAAGATAGCTGCCAGAGTGACCACCAGACAAGCTCACCCTTTATTATAATCTCTACGCATGTAGAATGACGTACTCCCCACTGCCATGATGGTTGACAACTGCCATAAAAATAACCAGAAAGAACCATAAAAGGAACAGAAAGTGGTGGTGTCCAAATTCCCAGAAGAAAAAAAATGACTATACCTTTTCTTTTTATTAGCTTATGCTTTCTCCTTGTTTCTTTTGTCCTGTATCTATACTCTTCTGACCTACAACTACTGGAGAAGTAGATTTTTAAACTCCTGCTTCTCCTATTCTTGGTCAAGAATAAAAGTCTCCTTTATTGTTCAATCAGGGCTCAGTCTTTACATTGGTTCCATTTATTTCTGAAACAAAAAATGATCCAGTTTGGGGTCAGAAATTGGTAACAGACCCATTGAAATAGACACTATTTTAGCAAAGAATAACAATAGCATATTTTGACCCAAATAATTACATAAGTATATTTTATTTTCTATGATATAAATACATTATAAGAGAAAAGGGGGAATTTTTCTTATTGAATGATTCTAATTAATATATGTGGGAAGAAGATAGAAAGTCATCAAAATAGTGCAGTAGTAATTGTTACAAGTAAGAATCAAATGAAAGCTAAAATTAGAGGGTAAAATTTAAGGTGAAAAGTTTCAAAGTTACTACCCCAAAATAATACAGCAATTTCCAAGGGAAATTTAGTGACTTTCTAGTGGAAGAACTTGGAGTTTCCCACCTTCACCTCTGAAGAGATAAAAGTTAAAATTTTTCAACATCTCTGGTCCTTAGAGATAAACAAATTAAAACAACACTCAGTTTTCATCTTGCTCCAGGAAGAATGACCACAGTCAAATTCAGGGGCTTAAAAAAAGAGCCTTTTTACAGTGATGGTTGGAATGTAAAGTATTACAAACACTATGGAAATAAGTGTGGAAAAATCCTCAAAAAACTTATACTAGAAATTCCATTTGACCCAGATGTTCACCTTTTAGGCATCTTCCTGAAAGATTTAAAGACAACATGCTACAGTGATTCATGTACTTCCATGTTGATAGCAGCATAATTTGTAAGTTATAGCCCAGTGGCACTGCACCTGCCTTGTCAGTGCAAGGTCGTGTGTTCAATCCCTGGTACCCAAAAAAGAAAAAACCCCACCAATTCCTGATAGTTAAATTTTGGAAGGTACCTATATGCCCATCAACATACAAATGGATAAAGATAATGTGTTATTTATGTACAGTGGAGTTTTATTGTGCCATAAAGTAGGATAAGCTTGAGTCATCTGTAGAAAAATGGTTTTACCTTCAGATCACAATGTTAAGTTAAATGAATCACGCACAAGTTAAATATTGCATGGTTTCTCTTATATGAGAAACCCAAAATATAAATAAGAAACAAAATAAAAGCTAGATGAAAGAAAATAGGGACATTGAATTTTGCAAGTGGGAAGGGGATCAACAAATGGAGGGAGGGGAAGGAGAAGGGATACAAAATGAATTGAGATGTATTATGCACATGTACCAACTCCCCAGGAGGAATGAGATTATTATGTATTGTAAACCTATACTAAAAAAATAAAAACTGAAGAAAAGAGGTATTAACATCATGTTTTCTTTGGTAGGATGTATTTTTAGAATGAATCATTACATCTGTGTGCATTGCATTCTTTCCATTTATGTATAACTTCCACCTAATCATGAGACTGTATAAGACAAATCCAAATTGAAGTGCAATAAATAACCTGTATTTTTCAAATTCAAGATCACTTATAATAATGAAAAACAGGAGATTGGGGGCTGGGGGTTAGAGAGACTTGATAATTAAATGCAAAGTGGGATTCTTGACCAAAAAGGATGATGAAATCTGAATAGGATCTATACTTTATCCAAAGTGTTATACTAATGTTCTTTTAGATTTTTACACTTTAATATTGTCATATAACATGTTAATATTAGAAGAATCTGAATGAAGGACATACAGAAATTCTCTGTACCCTAGCATAATCTATGTCTGAAATTAGCTAAAAATTCAAAGATAAGAATACTCAGGGAAGGAGCTGGGGATTTAGCTCTGTGGTTCCGGAGTCTGCTCGCAAGTGCAAGATCCAGAGTTCAATCCCCAGTTCAAAAAAAAAAAAAAAAGAAAGAAAGAAAAAGAAAAAGAATGCTCAGGGGACATAGAATAAGGGGAAGTGCCTCGTGCCTCATCATTTTTTTCTTTTTTCTTTTTTCTTTTTTTTTTGGTACTGGGGATCAATCTCAGGTGGCAGCACCACTGAGCTAAATCCCTGCCCTCATCATTCTTAATTCCATTGCTAGAGGTAACTCCAACTACCAATTACAGCATGACATTGCAATACTCTTACAATAAGAAACTAATGCAATAGTAAAAGAAAATAATTTCTCAGTCCAAGCATCTTAACAATTAGTTTAAAAAATACACACAGTTGTAAAACTACAACAAAATAATTAAAAGACAAATATTCAAAAATTACTCAAAGATAAAAATGGGTTTTATATAAACTAAATGTTGAACAACTCTGGTCACTTTCTTTTCAGTATTTTGCCTGTTAGCTGGGAGTAGCCAGAGGACTCACCCCTCGATGGTCCCTCTCCTTTCTGTAGAACTTCCTGCTTAGCTCTCCCATTTCAGTGTCACACTTGGGTTTCATGTCCCACCAGCTCCTTCCTGAAGCAGAGCTGAATTACTTGAACTCATTAACTTGAAATCCTTCTGGAATAAATGATGAAATGCTTATTAGGAATTTGTTATGCTCAGAAATTCCATTATATGAATAACTTAAATTAATTAAAATATAGAAACCGAATGACTAATGTTCAAAATCCATTAACTAATTAAGAGACAAGTGAATTCCCATACCTTTCTACATGCTTTCCTAAATGCTCCTGGCAGATAGTAACTTTGTGTATTGTATCAGACTTTAATTTAGTTAATTTATTTCATGAGGGTAAAAATGGCCTTTCTTTTTCAGTCTTAAGCAGAATCCAATTTTGATTACCTTTTTCCATGTCTCCTACTTTAAGTGATTCACATTTTGAAAACCTACCATCTGTTAACAATGTTCTCACCATGAAGGCAATGATTATGTTTATTACAATTTCACAGGATAAGAAACCAAGAAAAAGATAAGAATAGAAACTGGAGAACAAACACTAAAGGATAGAAACTGAAATGAATAAGCCATATTTTTAGCCATGAAATTAAGGAGAAAAGAATTTAAAGTCAAAATAGAATTAGTTAAGGCTGTAAGAGTGAAGGACAGAAAAAGAATATTACACAGGTAGTCTTATTGATTTGTATTATAAATGAGAATTGTCAGTGCTCTCCATTCAATCTTATGTTAAGTATAAGCCTTTGGAAGCTCCACAAAGATTATGAGTAGGATTTAACCAGGCATAAGGTATTATAGATAAAGATTGTTAGGCTTGCAGTAGAGACTTTAGTGGGCCTGAGGGACAAAGATGCATCAAAAATATCATGCTGTCCACTTGTAGTTAAATTAAGAAATAAAGATCACAGTGTATAATCATTTCTTAGGTCTCAAACTCAAAGCAATCCCACAGAGCACAATGACATTTTAAATTTACACATTGTGCACATTCTATCCCATGCCTGGCCACCTGGCCAACTCTTTCCAAAACAAACCATAGATCATTCTTGGTTTCCAGGAATGATGCTGAAATGGTATTGGAAAGTTGACTTTTATTACTACATGTTTACTGTACATAATGATTAGATTCACTATAGGGGATTGGTACATATAATAACACATTTCAATTCCCTTCTTTATCCCCCCACCCCTTTTTCTGCAGCATCAGATCTATTTGTGTATCTTATAAGACTTTATAATATTATCATATATACAGATTGAAAACCAGAGTAATAGGCTAAAGAACATATAAAACATGTAAGACAATTGTACTAGAAACTTTCATTAAAGATCCTCTTTGAAGAGATAAATTCTGGTTGATTCATAATAACTGAAGGAGGCCAAGACCATGGGAAAAGTGTTCTATTCAGAAAGAGCAGGGTGTGCAAAGATGCTGCATAATAAATGACCCCTGGCATTTCAGAAAAACTGAAAGGCACACATAGTGAGGACATTGGTTAGGGAAAGGCCAGAGAGATACCTTGAGGTTTCTCCTTTAGGACAATGTAACCTTACAGTGAAGAACATATGTGCTGTTTCCTGAACCTCAACACCATTGATTTCAGCATTTCCAAATTTCTGGAGAAAATTATTTCCAAATGTGTTCTTTCCTTAACTAATATTTTCTGCTTTCCTTCTCTACTGGGTCATTTCCCTCTATATTCAAAAGTTTGTAAGTAAGGTAAGTAGTAAGTACTTACCTCTCTAGGTATCATCCTCCTAACTGGACTCTTCTCTCCAGTTATTAACTTATAATATGGCCCTAATGCCCTTGCTTTTTGTCTTCTTTTATGACTTGGTGGCTGTTGTTCTCATATGTGAGGGTTTAGTTTAATGTAAAGCATTGTTCTTATCACATAATCATTACTGGTTCAATGAAGACACTGTAGTCTGATTTACTTGTTAGTTTGTTCAGTATCATCATTTTTCTATTTCTTACTTCCATTACTCCACCACTCAAATGTGCTTGATATACATTTTATTTTTTGAAGGAGTTTTGTGAAAGTAAATTAAAAATTAAGTTTAAACATGAAAGTGAAGTTGTCACAAAGATATTAGCAATTTGATCTGAAGTCCAAGAGGCAGGTAGAAGATAAAAGTTTCAGTGTAATTATGTGTTTTTCTCTTCTATTCTAATTTTTTTCAAGACTGTTTTCAAAGCAAAACTTTTGAGTATTTTATTAAAAATTTATTATATTCTAGATTTTATTCCTGTTTCCTACAATGTTACATAGGTCAGCATATGGCAATATGCCCTATAAATATATTATTTTCAAATAAATTATTGATTTAACTTTTAAATAAAAATTAATCCTCAATATAAAATTCTGGGTCTAAAATTCTTAGTTTAATATTTTCTTATAGCAACAAATACATTATTAATTTATTGTTTTTTGTAGCTAATATACCATTTTTCCTAGAAGCTTTTAGAATTTTATTCCTGTCTTCAATGTTTTCAACTAGGCTGCATTGACTATTATAAGTGCCTCTCTGTTTTTCTTATTTTTATTTTATTTATTTATTTTCAAATTTTATTAGTACACACATGTAGTACATAATAATTACATTCATCCTTGGGAGTTGGTACACATACATAGCACAAATATGTTGCTAAACATATTTATTTCTGGCTGCAATTTTGTTTGCTTTCTCTTCCTATGGAACTCAAATTTGGACATCTTCATTTTCTTCTCCATATCTCTTAGTCTATAAAAATAACACTGACTATCCTTTCCTAATACTTTCCTGAGGGTTTCTCAATGTCTCAATGTCATCACAGTAATTAATTCTACAACTATGTATCTCCTGTTTCTATCGAACTAAATTGCTCTTCATTACATTTTTAGATAAACTATAATGATTCTTCTTTTATTAGCTTTTATGTCAGTTACGATTCCGGTGGAAGATGGTATCGACTTTCATTGTAGTAGTCACATTCCTCAGGTATGTCTGTAGACATTTGGGCCCTTGAACTCATATTTTCTTATGTTTCAGTTTCTTTATCAGTAATGTGGAGCTAGATAAAGGCTGAAAGCCAGATTAAATTCTGTCCCTGTACTGATAATTTTAAGGCAAACAAAAGGAATGAGCCCCCTGAGTGAAAAGTGTTGTGCTTCTTAGAAACTCTCAAGAATACTCTTATCATCTGCCAGGCAAATTTCTAGTCAGGATCTTACCTTGAAATTATTACCAAAAATGAATGAAAACAAATGAATGAAATTATTACCAAGACTATTTGGAGTATGCTTCTTTTTCAGGGTTTGGAAAGGAACAAAAGAGAGGAATACGAGTCCTAGGATACTACTTTATCCACTCACAATTATCTTCATGTCCAAAAACAGTACCTGCACCCTGACTGAAGATTTCTGTTGTGCAAAAGCAACCTTTTTAACATTTCACCTTGCAGTGGAGGCTAGGGTGGAACTTAAAAACTTTCTTCCAACCTCTTCTTTCAGTTCTCTCTGTTCTTCTGCAGCTTGTGACTGCAGGGAATTTATCTATCAATTTCCAGACCTAGAGCTATTGCCAGAAGAAAGGGGTGCATGAGTGCTTCAACAGTATTTTATCTTATACCAGTGAATTTTATTCTATACCAGGCACCATCACTTAAACCTCTTCATTAATTTCCTTACAGTATCTTTATTCTTCAAGTATAGCAAAACCCATAGTTTACATATAGGATGAGTCCACTTGGTAGTTTCGAATCAGTTCTATTTTTGATTAACTAAGAGGCAATGTGGGTGATTAAAATGAGCAAAGTAAAGTAATGCAGTTGTGGAGATATCAAGCTGTATTTTGGAACAGGGTTATAAAGCTCAGAAGAGCTATGATGAAGTTGCCAACTGGTAAATTCGACACTGGAGGAAACAGATAATTGTGGAGTTTCTCCATCTGGTGAGCAACCACATGTATAAGGATATAAACAAATCATACACATAATTGCAGTCAAAAATTAAATTGAACTTATACTAGAAGCAAATATTTTAAATGTTAATAAGTTTTATCCTTGGGTGGTAAAACTATGTGGGTTTCTTTCCCCTACTTCCCTGCAATATTATGAATTTTCAAAATACTTGGGATGAGCTTCTATCTTAGGTATAATATAATAAGATACATTTTATGGGAAGTTTTCCCACAAGATTCTTTATTAAGGGAACCAAGAAAAAAAATCTTTTTCTGCCAAAGCAATTACAAGAGATGCTTGACTATGTAAAGAAGATAAAATTAGCCTTTAGGAAAGTATGAACAACTGTGACTCTTTGTTGAAAAGAAATAAATGAAAGTTATGGAGAGGAAATTAGCCTTGAAGGAAGTATACAAAAATGGTTTCATTTTTCATCAGGTTCAAATGGTATACAGATGATTTAGCTAGAAAATTCAACGGATTAATTAATTCTGAGTATTTTTAGAGACATCTGGATAAGAAGGAAAAGATACAGTGTCCTAATTTCCCAGTATATTAGATGCAAGCTGTTTTTAGTGAATTTTCAAATTATCCGATACTTGATGAAACTATGCATTAGTCAGCTTCCGCTTGCTGAGACCAAATGGTCAATACCCACAAGTTAAAGTAGAAAATGGTTTATCTGGTTCATAGCTTCAGATGCTTCAGTCCATGATCGCTGTCTTCTAGGCAGAAACATCATGGCAGAAATGTCTAGTGGAGCAGAGATAGTTAGTTCTTGGCAGCTAGGAAGGAGAGCAGGGGAACATTTCCCAAGGGAGGTTGGAGGCAGAAACCATAGATGGTACCCAAAGTCCTGCTTCCTTGACCCACCCTGACACACCCAGAACTGTGTTTTATTAATTCTCTATGCTCCTCCCAAACAAACCAAGTTGACACAATTATGTTTAATGACCATATTAACTGAAAAATATGAATTCTCAGTGTGTATTAAAAAGCAAATACAGCTTTTCAGTATTGACAAAGGACCTTTCTAATTATTTTTTAAAATCCATAGCATAAAAAATTTTAATGTAATAATAGCTCTTCTACCTTTTTAAAATAGTAGTTTTGTTGCTTAAAAGAAAACATTCATACCTCAGTTGTAGAGTAATTGCTTAGCATGCAATAGGCTCTAGGCTTGGTTTCTATTGTTGCAAGGAGAGATACAGGTGAGAGAGAGGGAGAGAGAGATGGGGAGAGAGAGAGAAAGAGAGAGAGAAAGAAATAAAGAAAGAAAGAAAGAAAGAAAGAAAGAAAGAAAGAAAGGTGGGCTGAAAAAGCTTTTTTTCAAAAAAATCTTATAATTTAAAAATTTTAGAGTGCAGGTACTCCTGATTTTTTTTGTACTTATACTTCTGGATATATGATTCTATATATGACAAAAGAGAATTAGCTATTTTAGTTGATGAGAACATTAATCAAAATAAATGAAAATATTAAATCTTGTCTTCATCTGGATGCTCTACATGCCTGTCCTGATCATTTTCAATCCTTAAATTTCCAATCCTTAAATTTCCATAGCAGTGCTAGGAAATTTCAGCATCATATCTTTCCTGGAATGACCTTTTACATTTTCCAGTGACAAGACTGAAAATGAGGTAACTTTTTATTTCAGTTCCTCTAAAGCTTTTATAGAGAGACATTTTCATAAATCTCAGTAATAAAACAGTATTCATCGTTTTTTCTTCTAGAATCCTGATCAATAAAGCAATTCTTCATCTCAATGTAAGTTCTTTAAATTTACATGAGATATATAAGTAATGAGAAAGCAGTCAGTTCAATCAAGATGGATTAATCAGAACCAGACTTACCTTCTTTCTTGAAACAATTAAAACAACAACTTAAATCAGAAAGGGCAGTCGAACATTGGGCATGAAGAAATAGAGTGATTCTCGAAAGATGAGAAATGCAGGAAGCCCTGAAGGGTTGTCCTGGATGATTTCATGAGTTATGGCAGACTGCAAAAATGTGGTACAGGAAAGACAGAGGCAGCCTCACGAACTGAGGAAATGATGATGGGGACCCAGGGAGCCCAGGCAGATGGAGTAAGAAGGGGGTCACAGTGAAGAGAGAGCTACACGGAATTGGGAACTCTGAAAACTGATAATGATTCAATGGATACTGCTTAGTAGTAAATAAACTACTAAAGGGCCAGGAACAAAGCCAAGCAAAAGGAGAGGAAAACGTTTCTGAAGTTCACACAAGTTTAGAAATACGACTTCTTACGAACAGCAGGAGTGGGGAAATAATGGCAGAACAACAAAAATCTTGCCTTTGTAGTGGGAAAAAATTGACCCTAGTCTAAATGTAGTGCTTGTCAGCCTAACAAAGCTTAAAAATAAGCCTGATAAAATTAAAGTAAGGTAATTTAAGACTTTCCCAAATTTCAAGAATTCTTACAGGAATATGAACTATTTAGCAACAAAAAAAGTAAAGAAAAACAAAAAAGATACCTGGATATCTGGCACCTAATATAAAATCACCAGAACTGTAAGAAAGCCAGAAAATATAAACTATATTGATGAAAAAAATTAACTCATTGGAGCTGAACCAAAAACTATATAGATGATAGAATTAGTACATAAGAACATCAGGAGAGTTCTTTTCACTGTATTGTAAATGCTCAAGAAGGTTGAGGAAGTTTGATCTTGTTAAGCACAGAAATAGAAGATATTAAAATCACCAAGTCAGTCATCCAGAGCAAATATTTGAGATGGGAAATATGCTCTGCGTAATTAGAAGCAAGTAGATATTTCCAAGGAATAAGTTGGAAAATAGAAACTAATCAAATGGAGAGAGAGAGAGAGAGAGAGAGAGAGAGACTAAGAACATGAAAATAATAACAATGTATCCATGAAATGTCAAGCAGTCAGATCTATAAGATAAAAAAAGGAAATGTTCAGAGTAAAGAGAAAGTTGAGAGAACAAAATATATAAAGAGAAAATGATTTAACTTTTTCCAAAATTGATAAAAACTCTAAGTCCACTGACCTAAGAAGCTTGACAAATTTCAGCAAATAAAACAAAGAGGAAATTGCATGAAGGTACATCATAATCAAATTGCTTAAAAGCAATGAGAAACTAAAGAGAAAAGCAGCACAAGAGGAAAAATAAAAAAACACAGAGAAAAACAAAGTTAAAGATTATGGCATATTTCTTGTAGAAAACAACACAAACAAGATAGAATAGCATTTTTAAAATACTGAGAGAACAGAATATGTCATAACAATATTCTTCACCTACTGAAATATCTGTCACAAATAAAGGCAAATTAAAGAGTGTTTCAGATGTACAAAACTAAAAAAATTCATTGCTGAAGATATACACAGCAAGAAATGGTACAGAAATTCTTTAGTCAGAAGGAAAATCATATCAGATGAAAACAAAAATTTACCAAATGAATAAAGAGTACCAAAAATGCTAACAACATGGATATATATAATGACTTTCCTAATTGTTTAATTCTTCTTAAAATATATTGAACTATATAAGGTGAAAATGATTGAAATATGTTTTGGAGTTTAAAATATATGTAGAACAATAATAGTAATATCATAAAAGAGGGGAAAAATGAAATTATATTATTTCATATTCTTACATTATTTGTGTGAGATTCTTACATTACACAACTCAAGGTAGATTGGGATCAATTGAAAGTATATATTGTATATTGGGTCTTCTGTGTAAAGTTTCATAACATCAACAAATAATGACAGTTAAATTTCTTCCTTTCCTATCTTTATTCCTTTTATTTCTTTCTCTTTTCTAATTGCTGTGCCTAATGTTTCCAGAACTATATTGAACAGGAGTGGTGATAGTGGGGATCCTAGTCTTGTTCCTGATTTTAGCATGAAGGTTTTCAGTTTTTGACAATTTAGTATGATGTTGGCTATTCGTTTTTCATAGATAGCCTTAATCAAGTTGAGATAAAGACCTTCTATTCCAATTTTCTGTAGGGTTTTTATCATGAATGGGTATTGGATTTTGTCGAATGTCTTTTCTACATCTATTGAGATGATCATATGGTTTTTGTCCTTGACTCTGTTAATATAGTGTATTACATTTATTGATTTATGGATATTGAACCATCCTTGGGTCCCTGGGATAAATCTGACTTGGTCAGGGTGTATGATCTTCTTCAGGACACCCTGTATTCTGTTTGCCAGTATTTTGTTGAGGAGTTTTGAATTTATGTTCATTAGGGAGATTGGCCTGTGGTTCTCTTTTTGGGTTGGGTCTTTCTCTGGTTTTGGAATCAAAGTAATGCTTTTATCTGGGAATGAATTTGGAAGACTTGCTTCCTTTTCAATTTCCTTGATGAGATTAAAGAGTAATGGTGATACTTCTTGTTTAAATGTCCTGTAGAATTCAGCAGTTAATTCATCAGGACCTGGGCTTTTCTTTGTAGGCAAATATTTAATTGCATTTTCAATTTCACTCATTGTAATTGGGGTGTTTAGAATTTCTATAACTTCTTCATTTAACTTTGGCAATTCATATGTATCTAGGAATCTGTCCATTTCTTCCGTGTTTTCCATTTTATTAGAGTACAGGTTCTCAAAGTACATATTGATGATGCTCTGGAATTCTGCTGGGTCTGTTGTGACTTCACTTTTTTTATTCTTAATTGAATGGATTTAAGCCTTTTCTTTCCTTTTTTTGATAAGGTTGGCTAAGGGTTTACCGATTTTCTTTATTATTTCAAAAAACCAACTCTTTGATTCATTGATTTTTTTTTGTATCATTCTCTTAGTCTCCATTGCATTGATTTCTGCTCTGATCTTTATAATTTCCTCTCTTGTATGAGGTTTGAGTTTGTTATGCTTT